GAGAAAAACCAAAAAAAAAAAAAAAAAAAAATCAATTCTGGTGTTTGGACCAGCACCTTAATTGACATCACCCACTTGTTACTGTGTTTCTGGAAGATGGTTCCGAAGAGAGACATACCTCTAATTACTCAGAGAGCATCATTAGGAAGAAACAGTTCCCTTGCATGAAATACAGGCCCAGAGACTTGCCGACGGCTACACTCATTTCCCGGTTCTCAGGGGCATTACTTCACGTCAACCTCCGGCAGCCCCGCGGAGGTGTCGTCACAGTGGCAGGGTGGACCTCAGTCAGAGGTTTGTCGGGTCCGCAGGCCGGCGCCGTGGCAGGGCCCCTGGCTTTGTGCACTGCTCCGCGCCTCTGTCCTGGTCGCTGCCTTCAGCCGCACCGGCTCCCTACCCGTCCTGTCCGCTCACGACAACAGCCTTTGCGCTTCGCTCCGGGAAACCCACGGGACTCACCGCCTCGCAGCCCTGGATTTTGACCCGGTCTTCACCTTCTCCGGACGGCCTTTTTTTTTTTTTTCTTGGTACCGGGAATCGAACTCATGACCTCAGGCTTGCCAGGCAAGCGCTTATGCTGCTAAGCTATATCCCTAGCCCTTGTCTTTTTTTTTAAAGATAGGGTCTCGCTATACAGTTCAGGCTTGCCTCGAGCTCACTTTGTAGCCCAGGCTGGCCTCCAACTTGCAAGGATCCTCCTGTCTCAGCCTTCCAAGTGTTGGGATTACAGGCATGCGCCCCCAGGCCTGGCTCTGAACCCAGGGCCTTGACACTGAGCTGCATCTCCAAATCTTTACTTTTTATGTTGAGATAAAGACTCACTAAATCACTAAATTACCCCGGCTGGATTAGAACTTGGTGATCCTTCTGCCTCGCCTCAGTCTCCCAGAATGCAAGGGTTAGAAGCACACACCCGGCTCTGGATCAAAGCTTTAAATATGAAAAATAAAACCATGGGTTGGGAAATGTAGCTCAGTGATAGCACAGTGCTTGTCTAACAGGGCATGAGGCCCTGGGTTCAGTAACCAGCACCACAAAAAGCAAATCATGATGGGCACAGCGGTGCATGCATGTAATCCCAGGGGGGCGGCTGGGGATTTAGCTCAGCCGCACAGCACCTGCCTGGCAAGCGAAAGGTTGTGAGTTCGATTCCTGGTACCGGAAGAAAAAAAAAAAAAAAAAAAAAAATCATGGGGAAGGAGGATCGAAAACTCAGGCCCAGCCTGGGCAATTTAGCAATTTAGTAAAAACCTGTCTCAAATTTTAAAATTTAACAATAACAACAAAAAAAATTAACAAAGAAAAAGGCTGGGATGTAGGCTGAAGGCTCTAGGTTCAATTCCTAGTATCAACCAACCAACCAAAACAAACAAGATTGATCCAAATGGAACTTACTCTGACATAAAAAAGCTCAGTTGGAATTAAACTTTACTTCCCCCCCGTAACTATCCAATGATCCCAAAGCCATTGTTAAATAATCTATATTTTCCCCAATGTAAAGATGTTACTTCTGTAATATATAGTTTGGGGATTGAGCTCAGTGCCTATTGAGATTCATCCCCAGCCCTCTCTTTGTTTTTGTTTTGTTTTGTTTTGTTGTTTTTAGGCAAGGTCTTACTAAATTACCCACACTGGGCCTAAATTTCCACTCCTGCCTCAGCCTCCCAGAGTGCTGGGATTACAGGTGTGTGTCACTGTGCCTAGGCTTTTATTTTCTATATTTTTCCATTCCATTTTCTTTCTTCTTCTTCTTTTTTTTTTTTTTTTTTTTTTTTTTTTTTTTTTTTTTTTTTTTTTTTTTTTTTTTTTGAGACATGGTCTTGCTATGTAGTTCACACTGGCCTTGAACTCACTATGAAGCCCAGGCTGCCCTCAAAGTCACTGTCGACGCTCCTGCCTCAGCCTCCCAGAGTACTGGGATTATAGGTGTGCACCACTACACCCAGCCCCTATTTTCTATGTATTATCCATGTCGGTAGAGGCATTAGTGCAATAGTTTTAATTTCTGAATTTGTCAGTTTGGTGTCCTATCTAGGAAGAAAGATCTCCCCTCAATATTCTTCCAGTTCTGTATTTCCCTGACTGTTCTTTACTTTTTTTTTTTTTTTTGCCTTTTTGAGATAGGGTCTTGATACATAGTTCAGGCTGGCCTTGAGCTCACTTTGTAGCCCAGGTTGGTCTCGAACTTGCAATGATCTTTCTGCCTCAGCCTCCCAAGTGCTGGAATTACAGGCATGTGCCACCACGCCCGACTCCCTGACTGTTCGTGCTTATTTGCTTTTCACATGAACTTTAGAACCAGCTTGTCCAATTCCTAGAAAAATAATTTTCTTAGAATTTTTATTGGAGTTATGTTAACCATTTTTAGAATCATATAGTAAAAATTGTTATCTTTATGTTATTGGGTTTTTCTTTTCAAGAACATGGTAGGCGGGGCTGGGGATTTAGCTCAGGGGCACAGCACCTGCCTGGCAAGTACAAGGTCATGAGTTCGATTCCCAGTACCTGAAAAAAAAAAAAGAACATGGTAGGCTTACCTGTAAAGTCGTGGATCCCCTCAATAATATTTTAAGGTTTTATTCAAAGGGGTCACGTACATTTCTTTTTATTTTTATTTTTTTCTTTTTGAGACAGGGTCTCACGCTGCAGTTCAGGATGACCTTGAAGTCACTTTGTAGCCCAGGCTGACTTCGAATTTACAGTGATCCTCCTGCCTCAGCCTCCTAAGTGCTGGGATTACAGGTGTACTCCTCTACATTCCTTGCTCAGTTTATTTCCAGGAATTTTATCCTTTTTTTTGGTGCAATTATAAATGATACCAGAATATTTAGGACATCAGAACATCTGGGTCAATAATCTCTGATTTCAGGCCCAGCATGGTGGTGCACGCCTGTAATCCCAGCACTTGGGGAGCTGAGGCAGGAGGACTGTTGCAAGATCAAGACCAGCCTGGGCTACAAAGTGAGCTCGGCCGGCCTGAACTGCACAGTAAGACCCTGTCTCAAAAAGACAAAAAAAAAAAAAATTCTCTGATTTTAACTATATTATATCTCTGGAGTAATGTGATATCAATGCCAAAGTACTCCAGAATGTCTCATCCAAGATGTCTAATCCTAAAAAGAATTATGAAATTTGCAAAGAAGCAGCCAAACATGGTGGCACAGGCCTGTAATCCCAGCACTCGGGAAGCTGAGGCAGGAGGATCACTATAAATTCAAGGCCAGCCTGGGCTACAAAGCAAGACCATCTCAAAAAACAAAAAAAATGAAAAATAAAAAATAAAAAATAAATCCTCATAAAAGGATACATTAAGGATCTGTCTTTAATACCTGTATGTAGGGAAACAGAAGGAAACCCTGTATGTCGGGAAACCACTATACCTAGCTCAGTGGTAGAGAGTTATCTGATCCTGTCTCAGAATTAAAAAAAAAAAAAAAAGGCAGAGCATACAAAAAAAAAATCATGAAAGCAGCACAGGAGAATATATGAAGCATTTGGCACAGAACAGAAACTCTAAAAAATGTAATACATATGACAATGTGAACACAAAAAATGTGCTGCATAAAATTTAACTGTAAGAAGAGCCAATAACTAGCACTCAGGAAAAAGGAGTGTAATGCATTTCCATGGAGGTTAACTTCTCTATATGTTCAAACTTTCACAAATCTATCATCCAAAGCCCAAACCCTAAAAAAATAAAAAAACAAAACCCAAACCCTAGGCATATAGAGTGGTGCACACCTGTGACCCCAAGTACCCGGGAGACTGAGGCAGGTGGCTCAGAAGTCCAAGGTTGGCCCAGAATAAAATACACAAATGGTTGGGGATGTAGCCCAATGGTAGACTGCCATGGCTTCCATCCCTGGTACCACAAAAAACAAAAACAAGCAAACAAAACCATCAACAGAAACCTCGTACAGCCAGGTGTGGTGGCGCACGCCTATAATCTCAGCACCCAGGAAGCTGAGGCAGGAGGATCCTCGAGAGTCTGAGACCAGTCTGGGCTACAAAGTGAGCTCAAGGCCAGCCTGAACTGCATAGCAAGACTCTGTCTCAAAAAGACAAAAAACAAAACAAAACAAAACAAAAAAAACCTTGTACATATTTCTATAGAGTGAGGAAACGAGGCCTTATATGCTGCTGGTGGTAGAAAAATTGGTATGGCCTATACAGTTTGGCATTAGCAACCACAATTACAAACACAAGTATCTACGGACACATCAGTCTTCCTTCGGGGAATTTAATGTCCAAACACTAGCACGTGTTGAGCAATTACAGAAATTCAAGTTACTTATCGCAGCATTACTTGTAAGAGCAAATAAATTGTGGCATAGCATGCAGCAGAATACTACTGAATGGTTATAAAAGAATAAAGAGCCCCGGTCTTCGGACCAGCTTGCTCCCTGCCTTGTAGGCCCCCGGAAAGAAGGCCCCTAGCACAGGGGGAGCCATGAGGCAGCAAGCGCTGTTGCGCGCCAGCCTTCAGGCCTGCCGCCACCGCTCAATTGAGAACTACCATGACACAGAGAAACAATGACACAATTGGCCCACCAGGCACCGGCTGCAGATCCCCACCCATGCACGTGTGTGAATCATTCAAACATGGAGAAACCCCTGGGAATACATGCCATACAGCAGGCCACTCTTGCTCCTGCCAGTGAGAACCAGAAAGGTCCAGAGTCAGTGGAGGAGCAGCTGCTGAACAAGGACTCGGAGTACATGAGAATGCAGACTAAGCCCAAGGAGTCAGAGGTCCTGTGAACTGGGATCATGAGAGCCGCTTGGAAGCTGTAAACCAGGAGAACCTTGCACAATACCTGCAGAGACTCCCTGGAAGCCATTCTTCCCCTGACAGTACAGGCTGTGGTGGAGCTCCAGAGAAGTCTGCAGCAGGATTCCTGCTGCCTGTGCTGACAGTTGGGGAGAGGACACTAACTGGTTGTGGGGTCCCAATGCGATGGGAGGCTGGAGAGAAAATGCTACAAAAAATGGCTTTCACCCCAGACGACTCACTTGATTTTTGACAACCCTTAGGCTGTAACTACTTGTTAGATCCTTCTTGCGTATCTCTGTCTTCCTGAGAAACCACTTTGAAGATATCACCATGTATTACAGCAGCCATTGATATTTTCCTACTAATCTATCCATAACTCTGTAATGTTTGTATTGTTCCTATCCTATTTCGTAAATGGATGCATGTCTATTA